CTGGATAGGAGCCTATCCATCTACATGCCCCAGCCCTGTAGACGTCAGTGGGGCTGGATAGGAGCCAATCCATCTACAAGCTCAAGCCCCGAGGACTTCTATGGGGCTAAGTAAGAACCGATCAATCTACAAGCTCCAGCCCTGTAGACGTCTGTGGGGATGGATAGGAGCTGATCCATCTACAAGCGCCATAGAATCCTATAGGGCCGAACAGCACAGACACTGGATAAAAAAGCCAGGGGAGGAATATAAACCATGCCATGGGCCTCGGGGCATAATCTAGGCAAGTATAGCAATTTGGTGGGATGGGTAGATCTATCTTTTTACTTTTCAATTAAAACTTTTGTTTCTAATTTCTGGGATGTGTAGAGCTATTAAAATAAAACCCGTTATAAAAAAATATGAAGATTTCCATTGCTGACCACTTGGAAATGTCAGGCTGTTATACTGACCCTTTACCTTCAAAACTCTGAATTCGTAACCTGGAAGAAGTGCGCAATCGGGAAAGATGGGGAGGAGTTTGAAGTTCTTCTTTGCATACTTGTTCCTACTCCATGATTCAAAGTATTGAAGCCACAGGATCAGCAAGAGTCCGGGAACGATTGGGGTTGGAGATCAGTAAAGGCAGCCTCTGATTTTCTGAGTTTTTCTTCACCCATGCCCCGGGGTCTAATGCTGGAAAGAATGGCAGTTGACCTGAAATAGACACTCTGCTGTAAGACCATTGGCAGGCGAGTAGTCTGTTCCTCTGTTCCCAACTGCGAAGCTGTGCCACGCCGGGGTGTGTATGGTTTTTGGGTTTTGTTGCCTTCCTCTGGATCAACTGTGGGTGTAGGATTATAACTTTTTTTTTTTCTATGGTTGAACTGGATGGACTTTTGTCTCTTTCAGCCAGACTAACTATGTAACTATATATATCATGTCTTTTGTGGGGACATGGGGACACGAGGTGTCTTATTGTTTCCATAGAAAGGGCTGTTGTGTTGAGGTTCTGTTAAACATTGACAGTTTAGATTTGGTGCTAAGTGGAGTTACCCATTACTCATTTATAAGCCAAGCTATAGACTATTGATCTTCATCAAACTCCTACGAATGGCTTCAAGCGGTGCTTCTCCAGAGATGTAACTGCAGTTTGACACACGTTTAATGCGCCACCCATGTATATAGTAACCGTCCGTTTTTATAAAATGCTAAATAAAATGGCTGGCACCGGCCATTTTCTTTCATCTTCAGGCCCCCAATCTTCACGGCTAATGTTGAAGTCCTTCTTTTCTGATAATAAAATTGCTTCTTGACCTCGCAGGGAGCGAACAATGCGGCAGCTTTCCCCGTCTGATCTGGTACATAGCTGAGGTTTCCTCTCCGGCTTTATCAGGTAGAGGGGAGACAGTTACGGGAAGTCGGTGCATTTTTGCTCGGCAGGCAGTCTGGATAATCCACTTGTGGAAGGATTAGTATTGGATCCCTGCCTGCCTCCAATTCCACCGCAATATGAATATAAATCTTCACATAATGCACAGCTGATGGTGCTGAGCTGCTTCTCTTCCCCCAGATTACTCCAGCAGTCTCGGGGTTAATACTTGTCACCTTTAATCTTGTCCCTCACCTGCAGTCCCTCCTTTTCCTTCCCCAGGTGTGAATATGTTGACAAACTGATCATTATCCCCAGCAATGAGCAGGATTAGGGAATAAATAGAAGGTTTATCACTGAGCACATTTCAGGACTACTGAGGATCTGACTTTAATACGCCGCTGAGACGGGAAACTTGAGCTTAATGTGTGTATGTGTGTTTTTTTTATTTTTTTTTTTATGTTTGCAAAATATATAATTTATGGAACACAAGCGTGTAGTCCTTATGGAGGAATCGAATAGGATGTGTGGAACATTACAAATAGCTTCACACTTTCAATCCTTAGACAATCATTGCCGGTGTACTCCAGGCCTCTTTTCAGTCTTGACACATATCTAACAAGTATTACAAAGTATCTGCCTAAATTATTGGGTGCCGGAGATGGCACAAGCGCGAATATTTTACCACTTCAGTCGTAATGAACAGGATGCAGTCTCACTATAGCGTTTCAGGAACGTGCAGAAAATCGAGCATGTTTACAAATCCTGCAAAATCAGCATATATTGGTAATGTCGCCCCAAAGGCAGCAAAATAGATGTTCATTTTTTGTGCAGTTGAAAAAAAATGTGCAAAGCTCAGAGGGTGCATATGCGGCTTTTACAGGAGTAGGGCAGTCCATTGAAATGAATGGGCTGCTCTATGTGTGTAGCACAAAAAGACGCATATGCACGTGTTCACAAAACACTATAGTGTGAATAAGTAAAAAAGAGAAGAAAGGTGCTACTACCCGTCCAGTTGCTCAATATACGAGGAAGCGGGTGTTCGATCCACAGTTGCTCAGCTGCAGGTAACTTGATAAGGAAGATGATCTGCACACCATCGTGGGCTGCGACTAAAGCTGTCTAACCTGAAACGCGTCAACCTACTATATCTGCAATGCTTGTGGTCTTTATAATAAGCAAAGATCCCAAGCACCGTACCACCTGCCTGGAGTTTGCATGTTCTCCCTGTGCCTGCGTGGGTTTCCCCCCACACTCCAAAGACATGCTGGTAGGTTAATTGGCTCCTGTCTAAATTGGCCCTAGTATGTGTATGTATGAATGTGAGTTAGGGACCTTAGATTGTACACCCCTTGAGGGTTAGGGACTGATGTGAATGTACAATATTATTTATTTATTTCAGGTACTTGTACAGCACTGTCAATTTACGTAGCGCTTTACATATATATATATTGTACATTCACATTAGACTGTACGCCCCTTGAGGGTTAGGGACTGATGTGAATGTACAATATATATATATAAATGTGAAGCGCTGCATAAATTGCTGGCGCTATATAAGTACCTGTAATAAATAAATAATATTGTACATTCACATCAGTCCCTAACCCTCAAGGGGCGTACAATCTAATGTGAATGTACAATATATATATATGTAAAGCACTTCGTAAATTGACGGTGCTGTACAAGTACCTGAAATAAATAAATATTGTACATTCACATCAGTCCTTAACCCTCAAGGGGCGTACAATCTAAGGTCCCTAACTCACATTCATACATACACATACTAGGGACAATTTAGACAGATTACAATTAACCTACCAGCATGTCTTTGGAGTGTGGGAGGAAATCGGAGTATCCAGAGGAAACCCATGCAGGCGCAGGGAGAACATGCAAACTCCAGGCAGGTGGTGCCGTGGTTGGGATTCGAACCAACAACCCTAGTACTGCCAGGCATAAGTGCTAATCATTTAGCCACTGTGCTGCCCACAATATATATGTAAAGCGCTGTGTAAATTGATGGCGCTATAGAAGTACCTGAAATAAATAAATTTCAGAGCAGTGGCGGTGTGTGGATCATCTTCCTTATCAAGCTGTGGTATGAATGCGCCTGAAAGCGTCAACCTGGAGATCATCCCATCAGAAATGTAACAAAATATGACGTACACACAATAGCCATTTTATAGAGGAATTTCACCCTACCTTGGTAATGCTAAATTCCATCTTTTTGAGGCTCCATGCACACTACATGCACACTGGCTTAACAAAAATGCTGCTCCTAGAGGAGTTTAGCCTTTTGCCTGTAGAAGCAAACCAATGTTATCCTATGTGTCCATGCACATTAGGTAGTCTAGAGGCATTTTTTTAAGCTCAGCATTTAGAGGCAGAAAAAAAAAAAAAACCCTTCTGTTTTGCATTTTGAGAGTGTTTTTCAGGCAAATAAAATGCTAAACGCTTCCAAATGCTAGTACAAAAAAAGCTAACATTTTTTTTTTTTTCTACCAAGAGCACTGGCATTTTTTAAGCAAGTGTACAGAGTATGATTTAAAAAAGTGTGAATGACTCTGATTCACCTCTGTAGTGGTACACTGTGAGCATTCTGGGAATTAAATTGTCACTCCTTGTGTATATATCCTTCAGTTTATGTGTGTATAAATAGATATCCTGCAAAAAACGTGTTTTATTTTCATAGAACGTTGAGACCTCATTCACACTCTGACTTACACTGTCCAACATCATGCATATGTGTTACACACACGGGGCAAAAAATTCATTTTCATGGGCTAGCGAAGTTACCTGATAAATACGGCAAAGTGGCTCATATACTAGTTTGAGCGTCAAGCTTCACGCTAGCCCATAAAAATGAATGGTTTGCCCCATGTGTGTAAACACATATGCATGATGTTGGACAGTGTAAGTCAGAGTGTGAATGACAACATCAACATTCTATGAAAATAAAAACACGTTTTGCAGGATATCTATTTATACACATAAACTGAAGTTAATGCTGCTTACCGCATTTGGGGTGACTTTAACAATGAATGGCACCACAAGCACGACACACACGTTTTTGTACATTTAGGTGAATGCACAAAAAATCATACAGCTTTGTGTGGATTCATGTGTTGCTATAGTGTGAATGTAGCCGGACTCGGTGGACTTAATTAGGTTTGATACTAATCAATAGATATAGACTATTTCATGTCAAAGTGAAACCAGACCTGTGCTGAGTGCACTGTAAGATGTGTCCTTTAAAATGTTTGTTTAGAAAAGTCACCCGTTCTTTTAGGGATCTGTATTTTCTGTAGCTTAAAGTGTTACTAAACCCACAACAGTAAAATCAGTCTGTATATGCAGTAAAGCATGCTTTGTATACTCACTGTGTAAAAACACTGTTTGAGCCTGTCTTCTCTGATCCTCCCCTTCTTCCAGTGTCCCCCTCTTATCTCCTGATAAGACATATTGTGTGAAGACACTCTAACAATACACACCAAACTGAGGATGTGCAGAGGTTTTTTTTTTTCTTTGGAGAGTGCATGTGATCAGCACAGGCCAATCAGCACTGTCCAGACAGAGGTCAGGGGTTCTGCATCCTTGCATAAAGAAAACTCCTCCTAGAAGCTTTAGACAGTTTTCTGCTGGACACTGATAGAAGTCACAAAACTGCTATATACTGCTGATGTTCTGTGTTCTGCAGGAGACCTGATATAGTGAATGCAGGGTCCGGGGAGCACGGATATAGTGAATGCAGGGTCCAGGGAGACCTGATATAGTGAATGCAGGGTCCAGGGAGACCGGATATAGTGAATGCAGGGTCCAGGGAGACTGGATATAGTGAATACATATAAAACCTTTTTGTGAATTACAAAAATAAATAAAATAAAATAAATAAATTGATTTTAAACATATAATATACAATAAAGTCCCACTGATCAAAAAAGTGTCCAAAATAGTGTCCACAAATATCCCAAAATTTTTTTCACTCTTTTCATCCACTGAAAGGATTGGCTCCTATTTCATCCAAAAAACGCACCCTCTATGAGTATTAAAATGCTCAAACAATACTGTGGAAAAGTATTCCTCCACATTCTCTTCCAAGAAGTTTTTTCCAAGGTCCTCAGAGAGATAAGAAGGGTCTCAGGACTAGTATTCAAAGCATAGGGATAACTTTTTATTCATCACTTACATTGAAATTTTAAAAATATCAGCTCCAAAACATGGTTCCAAGCTTTTTCAATCAAACACCATAGAAAACCATGTGTTGAAAACCAACAAAATGGCCGCGGCGACACTTCCGGTCTACGTACGTGCGTCTTGACGTCACTCTCTAATGCGTTTCGTCACTTCCGGACTTCGTCTGAAGGGATCTAGATCTAGTCTGAAGGGATCTGGATATAGTGAATGCAGGGTCCGTGGAGATGGGATATAGTGAATGCAGGGTCTGGGGAGACCGGATATAGTGAATGCAGGGTCTTGGGAGAACAAATATAGTGAATGCGGGGTCCAGGGAGATCGGATATAGTGAATGCAGGGTCCGGGGAGAGCGAATATAGTGAATGCAGGGTCCGGGGAGAGCGAATATAGTGAATGCGGGGGGAAATGGGGTTTAGTAACACTAAATCTAAAGGTTTCTAAAATAAAACAAAATGTGCCCCTTACAGAATAAATATTCTTGGTCTGTTTGGGCCAGGAGGTGTCGGGAATGTGTCAGAACGTACTGTATGTCCTTCCCAAAGAAGGTTTCACTTTTCCCATCGCAGAATGTTTGGGTTTGTTTTTTTTATATTTAATAAACCAAAGCCTATCTAACAAATGCAAATCAAGGAGCTAAATTCCAGCTGCACTTCACTAGTGTTATATAAGCATTAATTAATGTCTAGCATCCTCCTGGGTGTGGACTCTGGAACCTCGGGGGCTGTGTCTGACAATGTACTCCTTTTTGTTTTTCCTTACAGCTGGGGCAACATACATATTTGGGAAGAGCGGAGGGCTTATCCTGTACACCTGGCCTCATAACGACAGGCCCAGCACACGCACCGACCGGCTCGCGGTGGGATTCAGCACTACGGTGAAAGACGGAATACTTGTTCGCATTGACAGCGCTACCGGGCTAATGGATTTCCTACAGCTTCACATAGTAAGTGGATCTTTTCTGAAGTACATTGCGATGAACAATGTCTGGAGCTAAAATACTCCCACTGACATCTATTTGTCCAGGTGATCATTGCCGGGTGACGGAAACTTCAACATTTTGAATTGTCACTGGAACAATTCGTAACAGTGGTAAATCTTCTGACACCTGTTCCAGTGACAGTTGTCTAAGTGGGGATTTATACTGCCTCCTGTTGTGAGTCTTGGGTAGGATGTGAAGGTAATTCTCTCCCCTAATGGGCCACAGATGGCAAAAATAAAAAGCAGACAAACAGGGGTTTTTAACCATCCCCATGCTTTACTATGACTCAGATCCTTCACATCACAGTCTGGCCCCCTTAAACAAACCCCCCCCCCCCCCCTTCGGCCCCCCTTTCTTCAGCTGCCTTTACATCAGTCCCTCCTTGATATAAGTGTCCCCCCCTTCACATCACAGCTACCCCCACATAACAGTCCCCCCTCTTTAAACCACATTCCCCACCCCCCTTTACATCACAGTCCCTCCTTGATACTATAACAGTGTCCGTCCGTCCCCCTTCACATCACAGGTACCCCCACATGACAGTCCCCCCCCCCCCCCCTTTAAACCACATCCTCCCCTTTACATTACAGTCCCACATTCTCATCACAGCCTTCTCCCCCCTTTATATCACAGTCCCCCCATTGGTGTCCTGAGCCTCCTTCCCATCACAGCTTCTGTTTTCCCAGTCCAAATAGGCACAGGATGTCTGAAAGGAGGGCCTAACTGTTCATGTTAACAAGCTGGTAATTTGTTACTAGGGCTGCCTTACATCCCCTGGGGTTGGACTATGGAGACTACAAAGTTGGCTGGGTGAAGAAGAGCAAGAGAGACGCCTAGGCTGCTGAGTGGTGCAGCCATGGCAGTCCACATTGGACTGTCACCTGGTGTGGGTCTGGACCCTGGTCTGCCATTTAGTGATGCCTGCTGTAGATCCATCTCCTGTATTTCATCCTAGGGTCTTTCCAATTCTCTGTAATCGTCAGGGACGGACTGGCAACTCATGGGGCCCCCGGGCAATAGGGGATCATGGGGCCCCTGTGTCCTTGCCCAAACTCAAAAAAGCCTATGAAAAATGTACCAGGGGCATCTCATGGGGCCCCCTACTGACCCCGGGCCCTCGGGCAGTGCCCTAGTTTCCAAATAGTCAGTGCGCCCCTGGTAATCGGTGTATGTAAAGTTCACATACTAACAGCCTTTTAATGGAAGAGTGCAATGTCACAAAATACTGAAAATGTTGCAACTTAAGAGAGAAGTAGGGTTTTTTTTTTTTGCCCAGTTATCTAAGGGGATGCAGCAATGGTGCAATGCTGCATCTGTCCCCCACCGGCTCGAAGTGTGAGAACTCAGCGATCACATGACCGCTGAGTTCTGACTGCCGCTTAGAGCAGAGTGCGGTGACTGTCAGTCACCACTGTCTGCTCTGGCCCCCAGAGAGGCCGAGCCAGGTGCTGCTCCAAACTCTGGGGTGGATCCCGACTTTCTCCAGACTGGGACCGGCCGATTGACGTCAGCCAAAAGTGGGCTTCAGCCTGCTGTCAGATGAAAACGGGTCACAGGAGTGCAGAACGAGATGCACTCCTGTGATCCACAAAAGTACAGCCAAAGAGCTTTGGCTGTACTTCTTTAATCAATAGTTGCCGAAGCCAATTCTGACAATAATATATATATATATATATATACACACACGTAAAAAAATCTGTATTTTGTTTTTACTAGACAGTTACGTAGAAACCCCAAACACTATATATTTTCTAAAAGCAGAGGTACAGGAGAAAGAAATGTTTGTTGTTCATATGCAAATTGTTTGGAAAATTACACTTGAAGGAATTTTAATGCACAAAAACAAACTATGTTACTTGTAAAAGGTGATGCTTTAAAAACCTTTACAGGTTACCTGTTTAGAGCTACACAGGAGGACTGGTACTAGAATTATTGCTCTCACTATGACATTCGCAGCAATACCTCACATGTGTGGTGCGCTCACCCATTAAGGGTGGTTGGCACCGAATTTACAGGTACCCGCTCCCACTTCCGTTGTGATCGCCTAGGCGATCGGAAGCAAAAGTTGTCCTGGATTCTGGATGCGTTTTTTTAAAACTCAGATTCGCATGACAGGCTAGATATTATATGTTCTTATTGAGGTGGTTCACAGAGATGCGATCCACATGCATTGTGTTTTTGAGTGCCATTATTCAAAGGGTCCTGTGTGAGTTTGCAGCGGTGCGTTCCAGATTCGCAAGTGATAGGGGATAGAGTGGCATGCAGAGATAAGTGTTCACATAGGATTGCGATTGACAGGAGTTTTTGCATTGCAGTCTATGGGAGGCGTTTTTTGCATTGACGTCTATGGGAGGCGTTTTTGCATTGCAGTCTATGGGAGACGATTTTGCATTGACGTCTCTGGGAGGCGACTGTGCATTGACGTCTCTGGGAGGCGACTGTGCATTGACGTCTCTGGGAGGCGACTGTGCATTGTCGTCTCTGGGAGGCGACTGTGCATTGCCATCTCTGAAAGGCGACTGTGCATTGCCGTCTCTGGGAGGCGACTGTGCGTTGCCTTCTCTGGGAGGCGACTGTGCGTTGACGTCTCTGGGAGGCGACTGTGCGTTGCCGTCTCTGGGAGGTGACTGTGCGTTGCCGTCTCTGGGAGGCGACTGTGCGTTGCCGTCTCTGGGAGGCGACTGTGCGTTGCCGTCTCTGGGAGGCGACTGTGCGTTGCCGTCTCTGGGAGGCGACTGTGCCTTGACGTCTCTGGGAGGCGACTGTGCATTGACGTCTCTGAAAGGCGACTATGCATTGACGTCTCTGGGAGGCGACTTTGCATTGACGTCTCTGGGAGGCGTTTTTGCATTGCAGTCTATGGGAGACGATTTTGCATTGCCGTCTCTGGGAGGCGACTGTGCATTGCCGTCTCTGGGAGGCGACTGTGCATTGCCGTCTCTGGGAGGCGACTGTGCATTGCCGTCTCTGGGAGGCGACTGTGCATTGCCGTCTCTGGGAGGCGACTGTGCATTGCCGTCTCTGAGAGGCGACTGTGCATTGCCGTCTCTGGGAGGCGACTGTTCATTGCTGTTTCTGGGAGGCGACTGTGCATTGATGGCTCTGGGAGGCAGTGAGTGAACCCAAGCACCAGAATGCAATTTCTAGTCACCATGACGCCTGGGATTTGTCGAGCCCTGACAATGTACGGAGGACCAGAAGGGTGTGAATGGTGTAGCGAGTTCACCTTTTCATTTCCTGTGAATAGTGAACTAACCCTTCAAAAATGAACGCAAATGCGCATATGCAGTTTTATAGCGTGTGTAACGGCATGTACTGTAGTGGGAGTGCGCCCGTTGATGAATTGCCTATAAAATCAAGAGTCCAGTTCCTTTTTGACAGTATCTGCTGGGGCCAGTTTCCCTAATGCATGTGGAAGGAGGAATCGGCCGGTATGGACAAGACCTTATCTGGCAAGAAATACGGCAGAGATGTGTGTTGTGTTCTTCATGTCCGCACACAGGAAGTCTGGCCTCTGTAAGTGTAAATTGATGAGCCTGTCGGGCGAGAGCCGGTCTGACGCGTTGCGTGTAACTGGCAGGGCTCACGTGGAGGGCATGTACGGGGACACATGTGACAGGGCCTGCCAGCAGAACAGATGTTGTATTGTGTTCCTACCTGCCAGTGAGTGGCTGGCTCTCCCTGAGTAAGATTAATGGCTGCTTGTCGGCATTTTCTGCTTGCCTCATCCATGACATTAGTTCTTCATGCGTGAGATGAGGCCGGTGACAGCTCTGAACAGGCACTCCGCTCCTCTAGAGACGCATTATTATATCAGCTACACCGAGTGACACCATCCTAGTACAGTTTCTGATTTAAAGGGGGCTTCTGCTTCACCTTTAGCCTTTTCCAATCCCATAATTCACTTCATTTATGTGGCTTACTGCTTTTATTATTTTATTTATGAAGGTTTTCATGTTATTACTCAAATTTCTCCACCTTTTGAATTCTTTTTTCCTCTGCATGATGATGGGTGGACAGCTCAGGCAGAACAATAGGCCTTTCATTTTTCGAACCAGACTTCTCATTATTCTACTACCTCTCACATACCAGTAGTAAATCAGTATTGTGGCTGTCTGGAACCTTTTTATATTATTACAGTTTCTCATTCTGTGAGATTGAGGTGGTGAAGCCAAATGCTGCAGAAAACATTTTAAACTGAACTCCAGGCTGGAAAACAAAAATATCCTTGTACACGGGTGATATCTAGAGGGCAGGGGCTTTATTACTTATCCTATTCCCTGTTCCAGCAAGCTTCGGTGCCAACCTATCCACAAAGTTTCGGCCTGCGGGTGGACCCTTGGCATCATCACGTTCAATGTGGGGCTGTTAACTGTGCATTGTAGTTGGGGGGGTG